AACTTGCCAAGACCTTGTCTCTACAGTAAATAACAAAAATTAGCCAAGCATGGTGGCGCGTGCATATAGTTCCAGTTACTTGGAGGCTAGGGCAGAAGGATTGCTTGAGCCCAACAGGTCTAGGATATGGTGGGCCTATAATCCCAGCACTTTGGGAGGCCAAGGTGAGAGGATTGCCTGAGCCTATGGGTTCATGACCAGAATGGGCAACTTGGTGAGACCTCATCTCTACAATAAATCAAAAAATGAGCCAGGCATGGTAGTGCATGCCTGTAGTTCCAGCTACTTGGAAGGCTGAGGTGGAAGGATCACCTGAGCCCAGCAGGTCAAGGCTGCGGTGGCTGTGAGTGTGCCACTGCACTCTAGCCTGGGTGACAGAGTGAGACTCTGACTCAAAAAAAAAGACAAAGTAATGGCTATAGTTATAAAATTTCATTTTATTCTAATAAAGACCAATGTATGCCTGATAAACTAGTGATAACTCATAAGTTTAGTAAATCACAACATTTTTTAGAATGCAACTAATAGTAACATTCAAATAAGGCATTATAGAAAGTTTTATAAAGAATAAAATGTCCAGGCATAGTGGCTCACGCCTTTAATCCCAGAACTTTGGGATGCCAAGGCAGGAGGACTGACTGCATGAGCTCAGGAGTTTGAGTCCAGCCTGGGCTACACAGCGAGATCTCATTTCTAAAAAAAATTAGCTAATTTTTTAATTTATTGTAGAGATGAGGTCTCACCAAGTTGCCCAGGCTGGTCTCAAACCCGTAGGCTCAGGCAATCCTCTCACCTGGCCTCCCAAAGTGTTGGGATTATAGGCGTGAGCCACCCGCGCCTGGCCCTACTTTGTTTTTTATCCTTCACAGATAATGCTCCTTCTTCCCACTTAATGTTGCTCTGATGTCTCACTGGCTTCTGAATGAGTGACTGTATTCTAATAATTTGTTTTAAGACAGAAAAGAAATAAAAAGAAAAAGAAAATGTGAAAAAGAATTTATGGACTTTTAGAGATAAGTGGTATGGTAGATGACCATGAAGACCATAAATTATTTTTGTCCCCGTTTGTACACTCCTACCCTCCTCTGCAATGTGACTGTGTCGCTCCTCCCACCAAGAGGTGGAGTCCAGCTTCATTTTAATCTGGGAGTGGTCGTGTGACTTACTTTAGCCTGTGCATAATTTTGCATTAACAAATGTGATTTGAGCAGAGACTTGAAAGATGCTCATGCTTTGAAACTTGCCCACCATTGCTGCTGAGAACTCTTCTGCTGCCACGAAAAGAAGGCTAGAGACCATGTGGGCAGAGTTGAACTGTTTCAGCCAATGCTTGGACCTGTGTAAATGAAGCCAGTCTAGACCACCAAACCCCACACAAGATCTAGCAGACCACAGAGAATAGCCAAGCTAGTCCAGATCAGAAGAGCTACTACTTGGCCCACCGAATTGTGAGGAGTAATACATTTTTACTATTTTGATCAACTAAGTCTTGCAGCAATAGGTAACTGATAATAGGTAACCTGTTATAATAAGTTATTTAGAAGACAGAGAGAATCAAATTGCCATTTTAAAAATCTGCAACACGAGTTAAAAAATATCACAAGGTTTGCAAATGATAGGGGAACAAAAATTTGCATTTCAAGGTATCATTTATTTGAGATATTACAAGAAAACAATGTATACACTTGTGTCCCTTTTGAGAAAAGTATTAGAAGAAATACTACAGCCAAATGAGAGGTAAAGAGCTCAAGATAGTGATGCACTGGTGTGGTTTCTTTTTTGAGTCAGAGTCTTACTCTGTCGCCCAGGCTGGAGTGCAGTGGCATGTTCACGGCCACCACAGCCTCACCCTGCTGGACTCAGGCGATCCTTCTGTCTCAGCCTTCCAAGTAGGAAGTACAGGCATGTACTACCACGCCTGGCTAATTTTTTGATTGATTGTAGAGACGAAGTCTCACCAAGTTGACCAGGCCGGTATTGAAACCTGGTCTCAGGCAATCCTCAGGCCCCCTCCTCCCAAAGTGCTGGGACTATAGGTGTGAGCCACCATGTCTGGTGATTAGGTTTCTTAGTTATAAGCAAAATAAGCTGTATTTTGCTGGTTTAAACAGAAAGGGAATTTATGGAAAGACTAATGAGTATTTCAGAATTTCTCAGGAACCTCAAAAATCAGGCTTACGAAAAGAATGAGGATTTAAGTAATACAGTTTATTTAGATAGATATCACAGAGTGCTTTGCCCAGTTTTCAGAAAACACAAATTGTTTTCAGACACCCTTGGAGTGTTTACAACTACTGATCACCAGCCCCAGAAAATCTGGAGTCCCAAAAGAAGAGATTCATCTTCTGATTATAGAGCAGTAAAACTAGAAACTAAACATATAACGATAGCTGTTTTCTTCTACCCCACTCTAAACATTTGGGAATTTAACTGAAGAATTATTTAGAAAAGTACTTTATTAGTAGTAGTATTCTTACTTTGAGTTGGAGTCCCACTTTGTCACCTAGGCTGGAATGCAGTGGCACGCTCACAGCCACCGTGGCCTCGACCTGCTGGGCTCAGGTAATTCTTTCACTTCACTTCAGCCTTCCAAATAGCTGGAACCACAGGCATGCACCACCATGCCCAGCTTTTTTTTTTTTTTTTAAATTGGAGTCTCACTCTGTCGCCAAGGCTGGAATACAGTGGCACGCTCACGGCTACCCCAGTGTCAACCTGCTGGGCTCTGGCGATCCTTGCCCCTCAGCCTTCCAAGCTAATTTTTTATTTATTGTAGAGATGAGGTCTTGCCAAGTTGCTCAAGCTGGTCTCAAATCTCTGGGCTCAGGCAATCCTCTCACCTCAGCCTCCCTAATTGCTAGGATTACGGGTATGAGCCCCCATGCCTGGCGAAAAGTACTTTCTAAAGAGGTATTAAAGATGAAATTGCATGCTATATGGAAACATGTAACAATAAAGACAATAAATCAGAACCTCTGGAATGTAACCAAAATATTTATTAGAAGAAAACTTGTAGTTTAAAATGTTTTCCAGGCATGGGTGCCATGACTCATACCTTTAATCGCAGCACTTTGGGAGGCCAAGGTGAGAGGATTTCCTGAGCTCAGAGTTTCATGACCAACCTGGGCCACTTGGCAAGACCTGTCTCTACAATAAATAAAATAATTTAGCGGGCTGTGGTTGTGCATGCCTGTAGTCCCAGCTACTTGGGAGGCTGAGGCAAAAGAGTTGCCTGACCCCACCAGGTTGTGGCTGTGGTAGCCATGAGTGTGCCACTGCACTCCAGCCTGGGTGACAAAGTGAGACTCCAACTTCGAAATTAAAAAGTTTTCCAGATAAGCCAGGAACGGTGGCTCACTCCTGTAATTCCAACACTTTGGGAGGCAGAGGAGAGAGGATTACCTGAGCTCAAGAGTTCGAGACCAGCCTGGGCAACATGGCGAGACCTCGCCACTACAATAAATCAAAAAATTAGTCGGGCGTGGTCGTGCGTGCCTGTAGTTCCAGTTACTTGGTAGCCTGAGGTAGAAGGATTGCCTGAGCCCAGTGGGCCGTTGCACTCCAGCTTGGGCGACAGAGACTGACTCAGGAAAAAAAAGGAGGCTTGCCACAAGATCACATACAAAAATAATTAGTGGTTTTGTATAAAGGGTTGGCAAACTTTTTCTGTAAAGGGCCAGATAGTAAATATTTTAGGTTTTGTGGGACACGTGGTCCTTATCGCTTCTGCTTCTGTTCCCCTCCTTTTGCCCCCCCTTCTTTTTTTTTTTTACTTTTAAAAATGTGAAAGCTATTCCTTTTTTTTTTAGTTGGAATCTCACTGTCTTGTCCAGACTGGAGTGCAGTGTCATGCTCGAGGTCACCACAGCCTCAACCTTCTGGACTTTGGTGATCTTTCTGACTCAGCCTTCCAAGTAGCTGGAACTACAGGTGTGCACCACCACGCCTGGCTAATTTTTTGGTTTATTGTAGAGACGAGGTCTCACCATATTGCCCAGGCTTGTCTCAAACCTGTAGGCTTAGGCAATGCTCTCGCCTCTACCTCCCAGAGTGCTGAGATTACAGGAGTCACCGTATTTGGCTAAAATGTATGAAAGCTCTTCTTAGCTGCTGACACTACAAAACAGGCTATGGGCAGAACGTTTTTGGAGAAAAGTCCCTCCAAAACAAAAAAAAAATGAAATAGCTAGAAGGCTGGATGGGAAGTCTGTAGGACTTTCCATGAAGAAATTTGTGTATTTACCTTGGGGATCATAAATGTAAACACCATGAATAAATTTGGTAGCATGTCACGGTTTTAAATGGAACCCCTTCAGATGAAGAAGTCAGCTGTCCCCAAAGTAATCCAAACATCCAGTACAATTCTAACTAAAATCACATCAGTATTTTAAAAAGTATCATGTGATAAACTTATTTATTTACTTATATTTTGAGTTGACGTCTCATTCTTTTTGTCCAGGCTGGAGTACAGTGGAGTGGCACGCTCACAGCCACTGCAGCCTTGACCTGCTGGGCTTAGGCGATCCTTCTGCCTAAATCTTCCAAGTAGCTGGAACTACAGATGCAGGCTGCCATGCCTGGTTATTTTTTGTGATTTATTGCAGAGATGAGGTCTTACCAAGTTGCCCGGGCTAGTCTCGAACCCCCAGGCTCAGGCAATCCTCTTCCCTCGGCCTCCCAAAGTGCTGAGATTACAGGCTGAACCACTGTGTCCAGCCTACAAACTTATTTTAAAATGTGTTTACAAGAGAAAATGTTTAATAGTAGCCAAGAAAGGTTTGGAAGACGTTGAAGGGGGCTTCTCCTACCAATTAACAAAATTAACTATTCATGAGACAAAAGAGATTGGCACAAGACTACACAAATAAATGGAACAGAAAAGGATCAAGATTTATGAGATTCCTTCAGTCTGATTTTCCTGAAGTTGTGCTTTATCTTCAATGTATACTTGGTTTTTCTAAAAATGATTTTCTATTTGTTAATCTTCTTCCTATGTGTAGGTATAAGTGTACTAGCAGAATGTCTGGACTGTCCTGAATTGAAAGCAACTGCAGATGACTTTATTCATCAGCATTTTACTGAAGTTTATAAAACTGATGAATTTCTACAACTTGATGTCAAGCGAGTAACACATCTTCTCAACCAGGACACTCTGACTGTGAGAGCAGAGGATCAGGTAACTAAATCATCTTCTCACATTTTTCCTTAAAAATGTCCTTGTTGATTTCTGTATGTCTAATGTTTGGACATAACAAGGGAAAGAATCATTAGGAGAGAATATGTTCATTACATTAAACAGAGTGTTCCAGAGTGTTTCATTGGAAAAGTCTTGGGTGCTTGTAAGGTCCAGCTCTTTGAGAGACAGGCCGCCTGAGACAATGATAAAAACTATTGGCTGCTGTGGTAGGCAGAATAACGCCTCCCCTAAAGATGTCTACATCCTAATCCCTGGAACTTGTGGATATCTTACCTCATGTGGCAAATGAGATTCTGCAGATGTGATTAAGTTAAGGATCTTAAGATGAGGAGGCTATCCAGGTGGGTCCAGTATAATCATAAGGGTCCTTAAATGTGAAAGAGTGATGTAATGTGACTTGACCAGCCATTGCTGACTTTGAGGGTGGAAGGAGACCACAAGTCAAGAAATGCAGGCAAATACTAGGAAAAAGGCAAGGAAATGGTTTCTCCTACAGAGCCTCCGGGCAGACAATTTGACTTTTAACCTGCTGTGATCAGTTTTGGACTCTGATCTCTAGAACTGTCAGGTAAATTGTCATAGGTGTCACTGGGTGTAGGAATTCAAGAGCTGGGTGGGAAAACAGATTCACTTAATCTCTATTTTCAGCCTCTCATCCTTCTCTGTATTTTAAGCCACTAAGTTTGTGGTAGTTTGTTACAGCAGCAATAGGAAACTAATAAGGGACTATAAGATCATGTGCCTTGAGTTACCTGTGTTCTAAAGATAAAAAGTATGCATGAAACCACATTCTTTTGCCCAGTCTTCTTTGTGGCCCAGAGTATCAGTTTATAATTTGACAGACTGGACCTATGAGACCTGACTAGAGAAAAAGAAAGTACTCAGTTCTAAAAGGAATAGAAAGTATCTTTAGACTGGAGAAACCTGACAAACACTAACTATATCATCAATGATAAGTCATGTTGATAGCATTCATACTTGATGTATTGAGATAGCACATCACCTCTGTGACCGTCCTCCCAAAAAACCATAACCCCAATCCAATGAGCAAAACATCAGACAAACCCAGACTGAGAGGCATTCTACTAAAACCTGACCACACATCAAAACTGCCAAGGCTATAAAAACAAAGTCTGAGAAACTGCTACAGTCCAGAAGAACCTAAGAGGATTTAATACTAAATGCAGTATGGTACCCTTTATGGAACTGTAAAATAGAAAAGTAACATAAGATAAAAATTTTAAAAATCCAAGAGTATGGATTTTAGATAACATTATCAGTATGGGTTCATTAGTTGTGACAAATGTATCATACTAATGTAACAGCTTAATGACTGGCACAGGGTATATAGGAACTCTCTGCACTATTTTTGCAACTCTTCCATAACCTCAAACTACTCTAAAATTTAAAATTTACTTTTAAAAAAAGGCAAATTTCCATAAAAAATTACTCAGAGGGAGACCAGAGCCGGGGCCTTACTAAAATTGACTCATTTAGTTTAAACATGTGTGTGATAGACGTATATGCATATGAAAGAATAGTTTTTTTTATAATGTGTTTAAATGAATGATTTTTAAATTATGTTAATTAACTTGGACTTGTTTAGTGCAGTTAAATGAATGCTACAGTATTATTTTAGAAAAAAATCTTACATAAATTTATTTATGTAATATATGTAATTTATTTTTTGAGTATAGAATTTTTATACCTTAAAGTGTCTAAGAAGTAGATAAGTCTATCCATTAATATAACATTGAAATAAAATCAGGGGTAAACTTCATATCTCTGGGGATGGAGACCCTCTTGGGAAAGTAACCTGTTTTTCTGGTATGAAATGAACATATATTGAAATTTTTGTTGATCAATAGATTTTTTTTTTCAGTACAATGTATATCCTATCTTTGCCTGAAAAGGAAACTATAATTTGTTTTGAATCATAAATTCAACACCCTCTCTGTCATTACATTTTGTAGTAGTAGTTAGTTCTAAAAAACATATTACCTACAAGACTCAACAGAGCAGTAGGTAAACTGTTCTGAAGTACCAGCAAATGTTCAGGGATGAAAGCAAATATCTCAGTAAAATACTAGGAATAAGCAGTTGTCCCCATATGAGTTTGAGTGTGAGAGAAAACATAGGTAATTGGAAATGTTGCTGCCATCTGAGAACTTCTCTGTGCTGTTTTTCCCCTTTAGGTTTATGATGCTGCAGTCAGGTGGTTGAAATACGATGAACCTAATCGCCAGCCATTTATGGTTGATATCCTTGCTAAAGTCAGGTTTCCTCTTATATCAAAGAATTTCTTAAGTAAAACGGTACAAGCTGAACCACTTATTCAAGACAATCCTGAATGCCTTAAGATGGTGATAAGTAAGTTGGCTTATTATCCATTTGTAACCTGATCATGTAGCCAGTTTCTCTTGTGCTTAAACCCTTTAGACTCAGTAGCCAGGGAGAAACTTTCACAATTTTGCTCTTCTAGATAATTAATCCCTTGGGTTTCTCGACTGTACACTTGGAGGGGACTTGGCCTCAGCCCTTTTAGGGATGTATGTAATAGAAGGTAAAGGTATTTATGCTTTTTCTACTTTTGTGTATAATAGCTTTCATGTACTTCATTTCTAGTGTTTCTTTTTTTTTTTTTTTTTTTAATTTTACTTAGCCCAGTAGTGTATTGTGATCACATTTTCTTTCTTAAACAGCTTTTTTTGTTTTCCTCCCTTTTTTTCACCTGGAGCTAAAACTTGCCACTTATTTTTTCATTTGATTTTCTTGACTTGCAGGCTAAGTCCCAACCCCTCAACACCTTTGTAAAATTATACAATAGAGCAAAGTCTTTTTTTTTTTTAGACCAGGCACTGTGGCTCACGCCTGTAATCTTAGCACTTTGGGAAGCCGAGGTGAGAGGATTGCCTGAACCCATGGGTTTGAGACCAGCCTGGGCAACTTGGCGAGACCTCATCTCTACAATAAATAAAAAAATTAGCCGGGCATAGTGACATATGCCTGTAGTTCCAGCTACTTGGAAGGCTGAGGCAAAAAGATCGCCTGATCCCAGCAGGTGAAGGCTATGGTGGCCATGAGCGTGCCACTGCCCTCCAGTCCCAATGAGACTCCCAACTAAAAAAAAAAAAAAGTGGTTTTTTTTTTAAATCGCTGATGTTTTAAAAGTTTACTGTACCTTGATGTGCATTTTTAAAAATTAATAATCATATTGGTTGGGCATCTCTGTCTTTTCAGATATACATTTCTCAGTTCTCTGTTATTGATATGTGATTCTTCAGTCACTGAGTGTCTAATCTTTTCTTGTCTCTTATTATTCATCTTTGTCTCTTGGTCCTCTTCTGAGAGTTGACCTTGGGTTTTTTTTTCCGACACTTTGTTTCAGTTATTATTTTAAATTCTGTGAGTTTTTATTTATTCTCTAATTTCTTATTCCATGGCCGTAATATCTTATTGCTCTAAGTTCTCTTATGTTGTCTATATTTGCTATATTACCTTTGAGTTTTCTTTCCCTATTTTTTTGTTACTGGAAACTTTTCTTAAATATTTGGTTTCATATCATATGAGTGAGTTATTACAAAAACTGATAGATCAAGCTGTACATATGAGTCTTCTTAATTCTTGGGCTGAACAGTAGGGTAATTAGAGTAGTTGGGGACCCCCAAACATCAGTATTTGTAGAAAATAATTTTTTTTTTTTTTGAGTCGGAGTCTCACTCTGTCGCTCAGGCTGGAGTGCAGTGGCATGCTCACGGCCAACACTGCCTCGACCTGCTGGGTTCAGGCGATCCTTCCACCTCAGCCTTTCAAGTAGCTGGAACTACAGGCATGCACCACCATACCCAGCTAATTTTTTGATTTATTGTAGAGACAAGGTCTTGCCAAGTTGGCCAGGCTGGTCTTGAACCCCTGGGCTCAGGCATTCCTCTCACCTCAGCCTCCCAAAATGCTAGTATTACAGGCTTGAGCCACCGGACCTGACCAAAAATATTATTTTCTAAGGGGAGTATAAACTGCGTATAGGCATTCGGGTGCTGGGTAACAGTATATTTTGACATACAGACTTTAATTGATCCATGTTTTTGGTCTATACCCTTCTCTGTGCTGTTCCTTGAGTCTGGAAAATCTTTGGTTCAATATCTCCAGAGACCAATCCTGTCTCTTCCAGTGGTGAAGGTACAGTGGGTTCCTGACTGTGCAGCTGGGGAAGGAGACTTGGGAGTTCAGCTGTTGTTGGTTCAGAATTTGAGTTCTCTCATTTCATCCCTACCCAAACTTCTTGGGTGCTTAGTATCTCCAATTAGGAACCTCTTCAGGGTTATTCGGGGAAACTTGGCTTGTTTTTCTTTTCTTTTTTTTTTTTTTTCCCTTACAAGGAAAAAAAGCTGATATCAATCCTTATGAATGTATTCCAGACAATTTAGAAAGGCGGAACTCTCCCTAAATCATTTTACAAAGCTAATATCACACTGATACCAAAACAGGTAAAGATCTAACAAAAAAAGTGAACTACAGGCCAATATCTCTAATGAACCTAGATGCAAAAATGCTCAACAAGATTCTAGCAGATCGAATCTAAGAAAACTTCTCAAAATTTATCCACCATGACCAAGTAGGCTTCATCCCCAGGATGCAGGGCTGGTTCAACATTTGCAAGACCATAAATGAAATTAAATACATCAAAAGATATAAAAACAAATACCATATGATTATATCATTAGATGAGGAAAGAACTTTTGATAAAATCCAGCATCCCTTCTTCTAGCAGCTCTCCCAGTTCTGCTGACTGTCGACAACTTCAAAGATCTTCTGCGGCTCTTCAGGTGGTGGTTCTTATCTCATGCCCAGAAGGAATGAGGGACACAGGCGGCTGGAAAGTGAGAAAGCAGGATTTATTGAGAGGACAGAAAAGCTGCCTTAGTGGGAGGAGGCCCAAGGGGGTTGCCCTTGGCTTGCTTTTCATTGGTGCTTCCCTGCCAACCATTTAGGTGTGACAGACACACCATCTGCTAACCATCTTCATTAATTAATTGTGTTTTGGGATTTCAAATCTCTTAATATTGTCAAAGGTCATTTTTTTGTTTGTTTCTTATTTCCTTTTTGTTTGGGATGGCTTTCAAGAGAAAAGGAGAAAAAATATCGTAAAATGGCAAGCCCAATCTCATGTTGTTTTTATGTTGTAAGTCTGAACCAGTCTTTTCCTTTATGATGTCCGGCCTATTCCAAGATGATTTTTAAAAATTAACTAAATAGACCAGGTGTGGTTGCTCAAGCCTGTAATCCCAGCACTTTGGGAGGCCAAGGTGAGGGGATTGCCTGAGCCCACGGGTTCAAGATCAGCTTGGGCAATCTGGCGAGACCTCATCTCTACAATAAATCAAAAATTAGCCAGGCATGGTAGCACACACCTGTAGTTTTGGCTACTTGGAAGGATGAGACAGAAGGATCGCCTAAGCCCAGCAGGTCAACTCTGGAGTGTCCATGAGTGTGCCACTGCACTCCAGCCTGGGTGATGGAATAAGACTCAAAAAAAAAAAAAAAATTAGCTAAATATTCCCCTATTTATCATTTACTGATTTCTTTTTTTTTAACCTTAAATTCTTATATCCTACTGATATTTATTTGGTGTGAAATAATTTTTTTCCTAAATATCTGACAAGATGGTGCAATACCATTGTTGAATCATTCATGTTTTCCCACATGATAAACTACATTCTCTCTCTCTCTCTCTCCCCCCCTCACTCTCTCTCTCTCTCTCTCTCTCTCTCTCACTCTCACTCACACTTACTCACACACACATACAGTTTCCTTCCCATTTCATTTTAGATCCTTACTTTTAATTATCATTGTATTTCATTTAAATTTTCATATGTCTCTAGAGAATTTGTAATTTTCCTTTTAAAAATTCTGTATTATTAAATTTATTTTAGATTCTTTTGTTGTCATTGTGAATTATGTCTTTTTCCTTTTATGTATTATTTATGAGCTTAGTCATTTTTTATTTTCTTGCTTATGTTTTCAGTTCTTTCATTTATCTGAATACTTTAAAATAGTTATTTTATGTTCTATGTTTGATAATACCAGTTTCTAGAGTCTCTGAAGACCAAGTCCTGCTGTTTGTTGGTTCTATTGACTATATTCCTGGTGGCTTAATGCCTTATGTCTTCTATAATTTTGAATTGTGTGCTTCTATTTGATCCTAATCTCCGGGGATATCGGGAGACTTAGGTTGTGTTCCGTAGGTCTTTTCTGTTCTCCTCAAGATGGGAATTGTATTTGCTTTTGTCAAGTTCCATAGGGCACAACAATCGAGGATTATCTTGACTTTCCCTTGGCGTATGGTCTCCTAGACCTGAAGGTAGGGTAAATTCAAATCTCAGACCTGCATGAGGGCAGGGTTAGCATTATAAGTTCTCAAAGCAAGGAGACTACCTCCACCTGTAGCTGAAGTTAAAACAGGCAGTTTACTGCTTCTTGCTTTGCCGGCAGGCATATATTTTTTATCTTTTCACTAAAAGTAATCACCAATCTGGCCAGGTGCGGTGGCTCACACCTGTAACCATTTGGAAAGCTGAGGTGGGAGGATTGCTTGAGGCATGAAGTTTGAAACAAGCAAGCATGGGCAATGTGGTGAGACCACCTCTCTGAAAAATCAAAAAAATTAGCTGGGCTTAGTGGCATGGGCCTGTAGTCCTCAGAAGGCAGAGGCAGAAGGATAACCTGAGGCCAAGAGGTTCAGGTTTTGGTAAGCCATGATTGTGCTGCTGCATTCCAACCTGGGCAACAGAGTGAGACTCCGACTCAAAAATATACGTACGTACGTGTGTGTATGTGTGTGTGTAAGTGTGTGTGTGTATTTGTAGGTATATATTTAAAGTATAACCACCAATCTAAGTGATTCAACTTTAGGTAGAGATCTCAGTTTCAACTCCTTATCTTGAGCAGATCCAAGACCTTACCTTCTCTCCCTCATACAGCCAATAAAAACAATTTCTATATTTTCAGTATTATCTTCAGAATAGCTTCAGAGTCTCTTATGTCTTACCATTATGGTGTTTAATTTTGTCTTCACCTTTATCCCTCTGATCTCTTGGTATCTCAGCTATGCATTTTAAAGGATGCTTGTTTTATTCTTTCTAGCATTTATAGTTGTTTTGTAGCAGGAGAGTATTTCTGAAAATCTAATCTGTCATTTTGCTGTAAATGGAAGTTTATATTGTTATTTATACTGGTATGAAATATATAATGTAATGACTATAACATGCCTAAGTTATATTCCTGTAAACTCTCATAGGCTCTTGAATCCCCATTCATGTTAATCAAACCAAGGATCACATGAACAGTTAGCCTTTGTTTTTCTGGGGGTT